GCTAATAGACATTTTTTCCTTTTTTGCACAGATGTTAAAATGCACATTTTAGACCTGAAGATTACTTATAAAAGAGCTCCAGGTTTTTAAAAAAATAACCTTTGTGGCTACTGCTCAAATAAAGAGGAAATACTCATCCGATCCTTGATCCCGCCTGTGTGCTAGACCGGTCCCCAAAGCCTCTTCTCCCCCAGCTCCATAAAGGTGGCCATACACTGTACAACCATCACAAGACCTTAGTCTTGCGATGGTTGTAAAGTGATTTAAAAAACGTACGATCTGACCATCTTGGACAGGCAGATCGTACTCTCGATCATCGCAAGCCCGCCCCCCTGAGGGGCGGGCTTCTGACGACCGCAATGCTGAACGCACAGTGTGCGCGTGCGCACACCGGCCCGTTTGGCATTTGTCTCCCAAGCACCGTTCAAACCAGCCGAAAATCGTACGATTCTCGGCTGGTTTTCTAGCATGCTCCTCAGACAAAAGACGTGCGACCGTACAGTAGAAACGGTCGCACGTCTTCGTTCACAGTGCTCGATTCTCGTACGATCGCGGGATTTCCCACGATTCTCGTACGAGAATCGAGCAGTGTATGGGCACCTTAAGTCTAAGCCCTGCTGATATAATCACGTCTAATACAGTGCATTCACCTGTATTAAGACATGAGGATCAAGGATCAGGTGAGAATTTCAGTGGGTAGCCCCACTGCCAGGGTTAATTTTTCTAAAAACTGGAATTCTTTTTTAAAACTCCCTGTGTTTATTTTGTTTTGTTGTTTCACCTAAAAACCCTAATAAAAGAAACTTGTGAGTTAAAACTCCCCAAGCATTTTTTTTTTCTAAAAGCGGAAACCTTGTACAATAAAATGGTGCCAGCTACAATTTTTTATGTCACATGTTATTAGTGCACTTGGTTATCAAACACATATTTTTATTAAACATTGTAATACACTCAAATTAATTTTAATGCACAGAAACACATTATAATACCCACTTTGTGATAAAATATAAAAGATGCGGTTGCTTTGAGTAATTAGATACCCATACTAAGTCTCAAAATTGTGTGCACCTGTGAAGCGGTAAAAAACAATAGTACCCAAATTTGTCACTAGGCAATGCTTTAACAGCCTTCACAGCTCACCAGTTTAGAGTTAATAGTGAATGTTGGCCCTAGAATTATAACTCTCACTCCGCCATGTGCAACAAAACCTAATATGTGTGGTGCAATCATTTTCATGCGCGAGTGCACCTGATGAGAGCATTTGCATTCTAAAGGTGTCCATACACTGTGCAATCATCGCACGATAATTGCGGGAAATCCCGCGATCGTACGATAATCGCAAAGTGTGTGGCAGGCATGCAACCATTTTTACTGTACGGTTGCACGTCTTTTGTCTAAGGAGCATGTTTGAAATGGCAGCAATGGCAGGAGCATGTTTGTGGCATGCTCGGGAGACAAATGCCGAACGGGCAGGTGTGCACACTGCCCGTTCAGCATTGTGGTCATTGGATGCCCGCCCCTCAGCGGGGCCGGTTTGCGATGATCGCAAGTACGATCTGCCTGTCCAAGATGGTTGTAAAGTGTATGGCCACCTTTATGCTGGGCACACACCTTACAACCATTGCAAGACTTTTGTCTTGCGATGGTTGTAAGGTAATTGAAAAAACGTACGATCTGCCTATTTTGGACAGGCAGATCGTACTTGGGATGATCGGAAAAAGCGCCCCGCTTATGGGCGGGCTTCCGATGACCGCAATGCTGAACGGGTAGTGTGCGCTTGCACCCACCGGCCCGTGCGGCATTTATCTTACGAACATGCCACACACACGCCGACAATTGTACAATTCTCGGCAGGTTTTCGGACATGTTCATAAGATAAAAATTGTGCGACCTTACAGTAGCAGAGGTCGCACGCCTTCCACACACCTTGCGATAATCGTACGATCGCAGGAGTTCCTGCGATTATCGTACAATTATCGCAAGGTGTGTGTACATCACGGCAGGGGGCTTTTAGAGTTTTCTGGGTGTTTCTTTTATTTTTTTAGTAAACTTTAATTTTTAAAGCATTTTTTTCATATATAGCTATCACAAGGGGGCTTGTAAGTCCCCAACATGAAAGCATAGTACAGGTGACAGGTCATTAGGAGATATCATGGGTTTTTTAGATTCCTAATGTCACCTCTGCACTTTGTTAAAGCTAAACAAGCACATATGTGCTTGATCTGCATCCAGGGGTGTACATTTGAAGCTTCACGCAAGCATACGCTAGGAGCAGCGTTTAACAGCATACCGCCAGTCATTGATTTGTGCAGGTTATACACAACGAACGCAGAGAGGTAAGAAACAGTTCAACTCAGCCGATCCAACATCTGGATCGGCTGAGTCGAGGCTCCAGGAGTTCACTTGCTGCCGTTCGCCCCTATTCTCATAGGTGCCGAACGCAGTGAGTGAATAGCCGAATGCTGCTGAGCGATATTCAGGCTCCGCTGTTCTGCTCGTTAACTACGGCTGAGCCGCTCGCCTGCCTTCGGCTGCTATATGGGCTATAGTTAATGCAGGATGAACACATTTTGCTGGTAATCAGCTTTGGAAGCAGGCTAAATTTACTAAGCTATAAAGCCTTTGTTATTTGCCATAGGGGTCAATATTTTCATATGACTAATATTTTCAACTCACTTTGGCTCTCAATGCTGTGAATAACAATTGTTATGGCAAATAATTGTTTTTATAACTGTGTGAAAGGAGCATGCTGAATAAAGTAATGAGTTCTAGTGACTGGATAAATTAAAAGAAGTAGAATATTCAGGGCTGGATTTTCACCATTGGAGCCTGTAGACAGACACACTTTGCCACCCAGATTAAAGTGATATTAAAGTAAAGGATTTTTCAAATGTTGATTAAATCACTTACGATGGATCCTACTCTTTGATATTTACATGCTTTAGTTTCCTGTAGAATCTGCTTGTCCCCTGACCACTGGCCCTGATATCCTGTTTTAGAGTAACTCCTTTCCCTTGCGGGGTCCTATCAAGCCACCCTTGTGTGCGCTAGTAAGTTGTGTGACTCCTCAAAGATACACTCACAAAACCAGCATGTAAAACAACATGTCTCACCACTAACCTGTCTCACCTAATTAGGGGTATGGAGGACCAGAGCTACGAGACGAGGCTACTAAATTTAAACATGTTCACATTAGAGGTGAGGAGATTAAGGGGGGATATGATTTCCATGTACAAAATGTTTAATGGTGGTAGCAACATTAGCGATAAACTGTTTAAAATTAACTCTGTTACAAAAACTAGAGGCCATCACCTAAAATTGATGGAAAAAAAATTCCAGCACAAGGGGCGAAGGGGGTTCTTCACAGTAAGATCAGTTAGGGTCTGGAACTCACTGCCACAGGCGGTGATTTCAGCAAATAATGTGGAATTGTTCAAGAAACTTTTGGACGATTTCTTAAGGGACCGTAATATACAGGGGTACGGGTACTCCTAGAATGAGATCCTAATAGGTTGGACTTGATGGACTAATGTCTTTATTCAACCTCAAATACTATGTAACTATGTAACTAAGGATAATGACAGAGGTTTGGATACACGTCTTCAGCCGAGGATATCTTCTGATATCTTCCCCATGTGCTCCAAGATGGAGACTCTCATAGTTTAGAGTTAGGACCGCACTATAAGAGGTGCCTTGGCACCCCTGCCGCACCCCCCTTGTGACGCCCCTGGTTGGGACCGAACATTTTCAGTCAACAGCTGCAGTCACTGTTCATGTATTGCGTGGATGGAGAAATCTATTAGTTTTTTTAGTTCAGTCCTATTAGTGGATGACCAGCTTATGGCAAGGCACTGTGCAATTGTGGCATGTTATTTGTGATACCACGATGTAGAAGTGTGACCCAAGCCTAAAACCAAAGCTCACCATACATGTTACAATCTGACCATACAATATCTGTACAATCAACCTTAGAGTTACCAAAACTATGTAATGAGGACTTATCTAAACTATCCATTTCATTTGTATCCAGAGAGACCCTTGAACTACATATTCATGAGTAGATCTAAAGGAGATTGTACTACTAGATTGTAATGTGTGTGGTAAGCTTAAAGTGACACTAAACTCAGGAATTAAATCTTAAAAATGTATTCAGGTGACCTAACTATTAACAAAGTTGAACTGTATTTGTGTATCAATCAGCTGTAGATCCTCAAATCAGCTGTGAATTGGTGCTGACCAGGGGCGGACTGGGACGGGGGGCAGGGTGGCAATTGCCCCCATAAAGTAGCCACCGCTCCAAGCTCGCTCCTGTGATGGACTACAATCTCACATTTAGTTTACTCATTTGTATTGAGATTGTAGTCCATCACAGGAGCGAGCTTGGAGCAGTGGCTACTTTACAACACACAGGGACCATGAAGAACAAAAGTAGCCACCCTCCAGAAGGAAGGACAATGTCGGCACCAATTCAGAGATGATTTGAGGCTCTAGGCTGAGTGATACACTAATACGCTACATTTTTGTTAATAGGTGGGGTACTTGAATGCATTTTTAAGATTTAACTCCTGAGTTTAGAGTCACTTTAACACCAGTCAAACTAGAAAAAAAACAAACACTTTTGTGTGTGTTTTGTTACATAAGAAATCCTTGCAAGCAGTAACAATATTGCAGAATAAATCTGCCCATGTCTGGAATGTAAAAACTGCTCTGATCTGTAAGACGAACAGGAGCCCCGGTAATGAGGAGGTTAATAGAACACTGCTCAGTGGGGCGTCAGTAGTTGCAGCGTTGCTGGTCTCCTGGCAACCAGAAGGCACTTGTCATGTTGGAGGTGAAGGAGCCCGAGTTTTTCAATGACCTGATCTTCTTTCATCGGGTGTATTAATGAGAATATTCGGTGTCTGAGGGAGCCGATTACCATCACACACTTCAGTCTACTGTATAAGATCAAGCTACTGTCAGCAGGATCGGCCATGGCAGTATATGATACTCTCGGTACTATGACGTCCACAAGCGGACCAGCAGTCAGACCCAGTATGCCTAGCTTCCAGGATCCCAGCAATGTGACAACACATTATCCATTCATTAAATATAACCCACATTCAACGTCTCCTGATATGCCTGGATACTGCTTGAACCCTCACCGGGATGACGTGCCTTTGATTGATCCGTGCTCAGGCTTCATGAGTGCTGGAGCCGATGCGGATTTAAGACCTGGAACGGGTAAAACGATCCCATGTCTGGCAGATCAAATTGATGTGAAGCCCCTGCACAACGATCCCTGGGAGCGCACCAGTCAGGGAATTCGATGTACAACAGCGCCACCTAGCGGAACTGTTACCAGTCAGACACAGTACAAGCCACGGGAAGCCAGGGATGAAGATGACTTCAGACATTTCTTCCACAAGGAGGGCTCAAAATGGAATTCTGTAGCCAGATCAGACACTGCACTCAGAGCAAAGCTGGGAGGTATAGTACAAGAGGTTAAAGATAACCTTTACCCTTATCTTAAGAATGACAACAAAAGGCACATTTAGTAAGAGCAATCTACAGAGAGATATTTATAGATAATTGCTGGCTTTTTATGCTTTGCAAACCTTATTTTTCTTCTCTTCCCCATGCTGCACAGTGGCCATTTTTTACCAAGGGCAGATTCATTCATCTCCCTTTACTCCCTGGAATTCTGGAACATATGACTAGGACATGTGACCATGCACATTATCTCAATGGGAAAAAAATGTCTTTTTGTGAGATCTCGTGAGATTTTGCAGTTTACAGATGAGATTTTCCAGCAATACACTGTGATGTAACCTTCCCAAGATGCATCTCTTACGCATGGGCTACATCACTAATGCATAAGAGGACCAGGAAGTGAAAAACAGTAATTGTAAGTAAAAGAAAAATATACTTAACTAGGAGGTAAAAGGACCACTTTAAGTTGTTTTTTTTTTGCTCTGGCCTATTGAGAATGACATGTCGTTGCTGCCACCACCACTGTGTGTCCCTGCTCATGCCGCCTCCTGGGATATATGACAGGGATATCCCAGGAGGCTGCAGGAGCAGGGACATAAAGCAGCAGCAGGTGAGCCGACCCGAGGACCCAGTTGCCTGAACCCAAAAGAGGCAGCTGGCTCCTGATGACTGAGGGGAAAAGGTGGTAGTGTGTGACCTAGGTTGTGGCAGCGCATCTCAGCAGGATAACGCTGGATTCACAAGGCAGGTATGTGAAAAGAGGACAACCCTGTCTGACAGGTAAGAGGGGCTACAAAAAAACAAAACGTAGGGGGAGGTGAAATTCCTCTTTAAAGGAACTTTAAGGGTTCATTTACACAGGCGTGCACATCTGTATGGCGTGCATGCCCTTGCAGGGAACTGCTCCTTGGAGGGAAAGGTGCTGCATGTAAAAGCCGCCTGTACCTCTCTATGGGAGTATGCAGCTGCACGCAGCTACATGCTGACCCAAACCTGTATAT